TCCCCTTTCCCGACCCCGGTTGCGAGCGCGCGACGTTTTGTTTTGGCCCGCGGGCAGCGGACTGCCAGTTGCTGGTGAGCGGCCTTTCCACCCGTCACGCGTTCCGAACACATGCGACCAACTAAACGCACTTGCCACGCAAAACGCCAGCTCCAAACACCGACGCCACCCCAATCCCCGCATCCGTGCCAGGCACCCTCTCAACGACGCCCCTTTCCGGCGTACAACCAATAAAACCCTTTGTGTTTATGTGTTATTCCTTGTTCTGAAGAAACCCAATTTGGCATTTGCACCTGCGCGACACGGTGCTTCGAGGTCCTATAGCGAGCCCCGCCGGAGCCCCACATGGTACCGTCCGCATGCGTCCCGGAAACTGAACTTGGAATTTTTATCCACCCAGTGCAGCGCCTTGTGGTCCCATAGGGGGCTCCACCGACGCCCCCAATGGGACCGCCCGCATGTGTCCCACGCGCCCAATTTAGCATTTTCACACACACACACAAACACAAAGACACAAAGACACAAACACACACACAAACACAGACACACAAACACAACACACACACAAACACACAAACACACAAACACACAACACACACAACACGCACACACAACACACACAAACACACACACACAACACACAACACACAACACACACACACACAACACGCACAACACACACACACAACACACACAACACACACACACAACACACACAACACACAACACACACCACACACAACACACACACAACACACACGAACACACAAACATACAAACACACAACCACACAAACTCACAAACACAAAATCACACACAAACAAACAAACAACCAAACACACAAACACACAAACACACAGACACACAGACACACAAGCACACAAACATACAAGCACACAAACACACAAGCACACAAGCACACAATCAACAAGCACACAAGCACACAAGCACACAAGCACACAAGCACACACACACACACACACACACGCCGTACAGCGTTTCGTGGCCCCACAGGGAGCTCCACCGAAACCCCCAGTGGGACCGCCCACGTGCGTCCCACACACCCAATTTGGCACTTTCACCTGAGCGTTACTGCGTTTCGTGGCCACCGAAGCCCCCAGTGGGACCGCCCGCATGCGTCCCACACGCACTCCGTTTGGCATTTTCGCCCGCCCAGTACAGCGCTTCATGGCTCCATAGGGAGCTCCACCGACGGCCTCCGTGCTACCGCCCGATGCGTTCCCCCCCACCCAATGCAGCGGTTCGTGGCCCCATAAGGAGCTTCACCGGAGAAAATATTAACAATTGCGGCGCCCACAACTGCATATGGTTGGGTCCTTCGCCAAGATAATTTTCCTGCGGCCGCAAACGACAGGCCACTCTGGTACGGACCGAAACTTCCAGCAGGCAGAACACACCAAGCCTGCGTTGCCGCGGTTGAACGATGGCACTGCTTTTCGGGGAATCTCGGCTTTGCACTTGCTGCACCTCAACATCGTGCTCGGACGGCACGCCGGGCAAGTCCAGTCTCTCTTCTTCCAGACAAATTCTTGCTAATCTTCGGCCGAGGCGTCTGTCCGCAGGCCGAGCACGGCGGGTACTTGCAGTCCTCGCAATGGAAAACGCAGCCGTTCTTCAGCCGGACGTGACGTGTTACCGGAGGCAGGTCCGCGGGTGCTGTAATGCAACGTATCCAATGACTCCAATGATTGCATAATTTGTACATGTTGTATGATGTGTCGTTAGTCTGTCTCCTCCCTACCCCCCCCAGGGGCCACGCCACATCCGCCGACCAGGATAGCCCCCCCCCATTCTGGAACCCAGAAACATACGGAACCCATGGGAAATCAGCGATTTGGGCCACTTGGGGGTATTGGGGGTCCATGAGTGCGTCAAGAGGGCTCAAGATGGTTAAGACGGGCCAAGACGACTCCAAGGCGGTCCAATATGGCCCCAAAAGGGCCCCCCAAACCCCCAAGAAGGCCTCAGAGGGCCCCAAGAGGACCCCCACGAGCGACTCCAGAGGCCAAAGTCACGGTTGCTCCGTGGGTTTTTGAAGGAAGTTAGCGTTCTCGTCTTTCTCTATCCCTAGAGGTCCATGACGGCCCAAGCAGCTTCGGAAATTTACCGTCGCAGCATTAAGCTGCCCGCGCTCCCGCACGTACTGTGGGCGGAACGGGGTCGTGCAGCTGGCGGGCCTTGACCAGGGGGGTCCAGAACGGCCCGAGCCAGCGGAACGTGGACAGCAAACGGGACCCCCCAAATGCAGCAGCTGTGCCACACCAGCGGCGCACAGCATAGGGTGGAGAGGGCGGGCAAGAACGCGACAACGCCGTGCACCAGGCCACGTACCCTGACGCACTCCGAGCGGCCTCGCGCCGCCGGCCTCACGCACGAAGGTGCGCCAATCAACCAACCAACCAACCAGGACGAGGAAGGAACGCGGCGTGGCATCCCCACGCCGACTTCCACCAGCCGCAAAGCAGCCCAAGGCGCGGAGCACAGAAAGCACCCGACAGAGCACCAGCCGGGCGCCAGGGAGGCCCCGCGGAGACCCCAACGGGACCCGCACTCGGATCCGCAGCCCCATCTTGGGAGCGCCCACAGGCGTGGACCCACTAGCAAGAGGGCCAGTAGGCAACGAGGTTATAAGTGGCAAAATGCACCTCACCCCTGCTCCTCAAAGTTCCCTGCCCCCCAGATTGCTGCGCAATCTACGGGCGACCAAAATTGCCCCAGGACGGCCCCAGAGGCCCCTAAGAGGACCCCAAGACGGCCCAAGACGGCCCAAAGAGGCCCCCAGGACGGTCCAAGATGCACCCGAGACGGCCCAAGAGGACACCAGGAGAGCTCTAAGGCGGCCGCGAGAGGCCCACAGGATGGCCTCCGAAGGGGCCAGACGGCGGCAGAGCGCGATTGCCCAAAACGCCCCCATGAGGCCCCAAAGAAGAGGCCCCAACAGCCCACAAGAGGCCCCCAAGAGGCTTCCACCAGGCCCCACAACGTCTGGACTGCTTGTGCTCCGGACGTGCACCCCGCGAAGCGAGAGGAATCCTAACATGCCATTTTTGAGCCCCCCAGCTAGGTGCAGCTTACGCCCGTTAGGTTACCGAAACAAATGCCGTCGATGTGCTCTAGCGGCAGGCAGGGTTACTTAATTCAGCCATTCGTGCAGGGTGAGCTTGGTGCCGCTACTGTGACAAGTGGTGCATCAAAAACCGCATTCGCTGAGCTGGTGAGAAGAATTACCTAGCTGCCGCAGATGGCGGGGGGGGAGGCGCGGGGACCGAAGAAGCCGCCGCAGCGGACTCGTGCGCGGAAGCCTGCGGATCCTCGCGCTCGACCGCAGCGGCCTCAACCGTGGTCCTCAAAAGACGCCTCCAAATTAAAGCAGTCCTCCCCTCTACCTCGGCGATGCGAGTTCTCACAACTTCAGGGGCCCTGCAACGCTCGGCAACTCCCTCGGCGTACGCGTCAGCTATAAACTTACCGTGCAGAAGCCAAGACGCGATACTCCTCCGCGCAGCCTCCTCAACTGAAAGATGAGAGGGCATCTTCAACACCAAAATCTCACAAGCTTCACGACTCTCTGTGTGTTAACCGCTGCCCGCCCAAATACAGTCCAACTGTTTTTTTCGGCAGCGATGCACTTGTGAGCACTATCGGTTCCAAACATTCCCATAGCTGTGATGGATATCGTTAGTCCGATAAACCCTCGTATGGCAACCTCTAAAGCGAACTGTCTGGAGTTACACTGCCAAAGGATTAGACACAGTGGGGCCAATCTGCCTTGACTGAGGGTTAACCATGACAGAGACCACTGCCAACTCTCCGCAACGCAGGGGATCGGCCGTCGGGTCCCCCTGAAGCGTTTCCTAAGATGATCAGCGGTTGTTCCATTGTAGCTCGGCTGAAACAACCTGGCATGTGCCGTGGCATAAGTCCCCGATGCCACTCACAACTGTCAGATTCACCTTGTGCCAAAACCACGGGTCCAAGGGCTTCTGAGTTCTGGTGGGCCTTCGCGTCGACGTTGGCCTCGCACAGCCACTCACGATGTCGCATGTCTTCTGGTGCATCCTTAAATCTCAAGCAAAGTTGAGAGGAGCACACCCCTACTGCATGCTTGCTGGCTCTGGTCCAGCAGCTTCCAATAACGATCGTCAACATGAATGATGCTAATTGATGCCCGGAATGATGCTAGTTGATGCCCGGGTTGTCCGTCTCGCAATCTTCTCACATTATAGCCTAACTCCAGGCCGCTCCCATGATGTTCGTTCGCTGCAGCTGCCCACTGTAGTTGATCGACTGTCTGTCCAAAGCCGTCGGATGAGGGGGAGGGAGGGAGGAGGGAAGAGGAGGAGGAGGAGGAGGAAGAGGAGGAGGAGGAGGAGGAGGAGGAGGACAGGTGGTGTGCGTGCTTCCTGTCCGCCATTCCACCTCTTTCACCCCGTACTCGCCCGATGCCGCCGTGCCCGAGGTGCTCTGTCCTTTCTGCCTGCACGCAGCCGCGTGCAGGCCACCTGACGCTTCAGGCGACGTGCGCCTCGCAGCATGCCTAAGAGAAAAGGAGAGTGGGAGGATGGAAGAGGCAGGAGGGAGGGGTCAGGGAGGAGGGGCGGGGCAATGAGGGAGGGAGAAAAGGCCGAAGGAGGGGGATGGGAGGAAAAGGCAATAGCCCCCCCCTCCTCCTCATCCGCCATCCCCTCCTCCTCCTCCTCCTCCTGCTCCTCCTCCTCCTCCTCCCTCCTCCTCCTCCTCCTCCTCCTCCTCCCCTCCTCCTCCTCATCTTCCTTCTCTTTGACGACGCGACTCCTCCTCTTTGACGACGCGACTCCTTCTTCTCCCCTCCCTTCCTCCTCATTATCCTCTTCTTCCTTCTCCTCTTTGACGACGCGACTGCTCCTCCTCCTCCTCCTCCCGACGCCCCTCCCCTTCCTATCCAGGAGGGCGCCGGCCGTCTTTTGGGCGCCGGGCCAGCTGGGCGAAGGGCTGCGCGCCTCGCCCAGGAGCACCCCCGCCCGCGCGTCCTCCGCTGCCTGCGAGCGCGGCGCGGCCCCCGCGGGGGGGCGGGCGGGGGGTGGGGTGAGGGAGGGGGGAGGACAAGCTAGGTGCGCTCGCGTCATATCTGACATCCTACCCCTCCCTCCCATCCCTTACCATGGCGTAGATCCCCTCTCTACTCGCACAGTCGGATGTCGAGCAGGGCAATGATCCCGAAAGGGTACGCGATGCATTGTAGAGCACGGCATGGCATGGCGTAGAAGAGCACCGCAAAGCGTAGTATCAACCTAGCATTGCATTGCATGCCGTGGCATGGCACGGGAAATGACGCCAGCGCTGCAGCGGGAGCACGAGTCGAAACGAGCGGAAGCGCGGAAATGAGGCCAGCGCTGCAGCGGGAGCACGATTCGGAACGAGCGGAAGCACGGAAATGAGGCCAGCGCTGCAGCGGGAGCACGATTCGGAACGAGCGGGGCCCGAAAATGAGGCCGGCGCCTCAGCGAGAGCAGCATTTTGAAACAAATGCAGGCGAAAACCCAACTCCGGGGAAACCTGTGTGTAAAAAAACAATACGCGGGGGGGGGGGTCGGACACTCCCAGGCCGTCATCAGGGGAAGAGGGAGAGTAGTATTCACATTGAGTAATTGTGGAGGAGGAGGAGGAGGAGGAGGAGGAGGAGGAGGAGGAGAGGAGGAGGGAGGAGGGAGGGAGGAGAGGAGAGGGAGGAGAAGGAGGAGGAGGAGGAGGAGGAGGAGGAGGGGGGGGGAGGTGGGGGAGGGGGGAGGAGGGGGAGGGGGGAGGAAGATAGACAAGCGCGTTCCACTACTCGCAGAGTAGCTACTCGCAAATGGTCCGAATCCGCCGCAGTGGATCTACGACAGATTATACAAAGGCAGACGTCTGGTTGTCTGACGGTTGCGAGTAGGCACTCTGCGAGTAGTGGAACGCGCTCGGCGAGAGGAGGAGGAGGAGGAGGAGGAGGAGGAGGAGGAGGCTCCACATCGAGCCGCTCGGGCGCTGCTTAATGGGAGGGGGGAGGAAACGTGCACCTTTCGTAATTACCCATTTTTGGGCCCCTCTAGGGTACACAAGGTGCACCTTTCTTGACCCCTCCCCCAATGATCGCCACCCCCTTTCGCAACGCCCGACTAATGAGATTCCGCCTGGTCCGGGAGGTCCAGCGAAACCCCGGGGCCGGGAAGAGCCCACGGCGAGGTGCGCTCCTACGAAGACCCGCGTTCGGGGCCTCTCCCGGCAGCTGCCACTGCGTTGTCCCGTAGGAGGCGACTCCTGGCATTGCGTGGCCCTGGCCCGAGAATCCAGCCGGGCTCTACACATGCAGGAGTTGGGGGTCGTCAGGGCTGACTGCACGAAAGTGACCGCGGCCATGATCGGGATTCTCTTTGCAGCCATTCAGTGAGGTGCCTGTCCGAAGTAGTATGCTGAAGAGACTCCACTCAGGGTGGCTTGGCTGTGTGCATCCCAGAGCACTGCCGCACTCACGCAGGATGAACTCGCACGAGCTCCAACGCCAAGACTCGGGCAGGATCCTAGGCACGCCGCAACCGGTAGGTACTGCACGGCGCAGACGTGCAGCATCCTCTGCACGGGGCTATTCGGACCGTATAAGATTGTGCATTCGTCCACGATAGGGCCTCCTCTCCACCTAGGAGAGCATCGCCTTCCTCGCTCCTCGTCGTCCTCCCCTTCCTGCCCTTCCATTCACATCTTCTCGCCCACAACGCTTCCCCCACTCGCCCCTCACCATCTGACATGAAGCTCGTGTTGCACCATGAAGATCACATTCCCCAAGCTGTCAGGCAGTGCCCAAACGATGAGTATTGACGGATGGTGTTCTTTCTCCTGCTTCGAATCGCCCCCGATGGTCGATGCCCTATCGTCTGGGAGATGCCCATCCTCCTTTTACGTGTCCTTCTCTTTTGCCTCTGCCTCCTCCTCCTCTTCCTCATCTCTCTCCCCGTTGCCCATCTTCCTCCTCCTTCTCCTCCTTCTCCTCCTCTTCCTCCTCCTCCTCCTCCTCTCCCCCCCCTCCTCCTCCACGCGGTCCTCGCAAATCACGAAGACACCAGGGCACGAGGGCAGGCACACTCAGCAGGCTCCTGGCGGTACCTTTGTGGCTTTGGCCATTCAGGGCCTCGTGGCAGCGTCCTCACGCGCCGCGTGCCCGCATCGGCGGCGGGGCGGGGGCAGCGTCACCGCTTCGCGGGCGCCCTGCCCGGACCTCGCCCAGCGTCGCGCGGTGCCGCGCGGTTGCCGCTGGCCGTCTGGACCCCGGGGCGGGATGGAAGTATCTGGCTACCGGGCTCGTCGCGTGGCGCGGGCGGCCGCTGGCGGCCATCTGTCGTGCCTCATCCTCCCACCCTGTGCGGGGTCGCTTCCTCCAAGTGGCACTGGCGGAGCCGTGTCGAGTGGTTCGGTCGCGTCTCGGCGCCAGCAGCGCTTCGAGTTCATGGCCCATTGCAGACGCGGTTGTTCGAAGGATGCCCAGGATCCTTTTCCTGCTTTTTCTTGACCTCATCACCATCACCATCACCATCACCATTGCCATCGCCATCGCCATCGCCATCGCCATCGCCATCACCACCGCCATAACCCTCCTCATCCTCCTCCTCCTCCTCCTCCTCCTCCTCCTCCTCCTCCTCCTCCTCCTCCTCCTCCTCCTCCTCCTCATCATCATCATCATCATCATCATCATCATCATCATCATCATCATCGTCATCATCATCATCATGATCATCATGATCATCATGATCATCATGATCATCATGATAATCATCATCATCATCATCATCATCAGCATCCTCATCCTCATCCTAATCCTCATCCTCATCATCTTTAGTCTCATCATCATAACAATCACTATGACCACCGCCATCGTCATCGTCATCGTCATCGTCATCGTCATCGTCGTCATCATCATCATCATCATCATCATCATCATCATCATCATCATCATCATCATCATCATCATCACCATCACTGCCATCATCACCAGCACCCGCCATCACCATCATCGTCATCATCATCGCCATCATCACCCTCCTCGTCCTCATCCTCCTCCTCCTCATCATCATCATCATCAGTATCATCATCATCGTCATCATCATTATCGTCCCGCCCTTGCGATCGGGCGTCGGGCGGAGGCCGCGGCCGGCGCGCGCGCGGCGGGGCTCGCGGGGCCCGAGCACCCGGGCGCTCGAGCGGGCCGAGCGGCGCCGCTCATGAGATTCTCCTGCGTGCTGCAGAGCACGTGGAGCCATGTCCATGCTCAAAGCATTTGCGCAGTGACAAGTCTTTGGCGGGCGGCCACAATTTGCGCGGGCCACGCGGAAGGGCGCAAGGAAAGAAGCGACAAGGCGGTCGCTAGCGGCAGCGCGACGCGCAACGCGCGCACGAGCTGACGCAGGAATGGCGGGCGCGACGGACGAAGCGGCGGCGGCTTGGAGAAAGCGCACGGCGCCAGAGGCCTGGCGCCAGCGGCCGTGCCAGAAGACGCGAGGAACGGCTTCCGCGGCCACGTGGAAGTCCGTCGCCCCTGAACCTCGCAAACAAGCAGGTGCGAGCTTCAGCCCGCAGGCCGCGTTGGATCGCGGGGCGCCCATGGCCGAAAGCAAACGGTTCCGCCGAGCGCGGAAGCCGCTCAGCCCGAAAGCGGATCGGGGGAACACATTTACTGGGCCTCGCCGACGACCCATCGGAGCAGCGGGCGTGCTGCGTCGGCTAGGTGCGGCAGGTCGAGGGGTCACGGCGGCGGGTAGCCTGCAGGTCGCTGGGCCGGAGGAGCACGTCGTGAATCCCATCAGCAGCAACGATGCCACAGACAGCCAGTCCCAGTGCAAGCACAGACCAACCGTCGCCCGAAGTGGGGCGAGAGGCAGCGGCGGGCGGAGCGCGGGGGGGCTCGGCGAGCTTCCGCCCCTTGGCCACGCCCCAGGCTTCCGCAAGGAAAGCGCGCCAGTGCGGTCGCTCAGCTTGGATGCCCAGAACGGCATGCACCAGGATGTAGCGCGGGGGCCCGCGCCGCGAAGCCGCGCGCCGAAGTTGGCAAGACGCCGCGCGAGCAGGAGCCCGCTGCGATAAAGCGTGGCTGGCGCGATGCGGAAATGCCCCCGCGAGCCTGAGCTCGAAGGCGTCGACAGACTTCGAGCGCCGATCAAGGTGGGGAGAAGTAAGGTGAGAGCCGCGCGCGAAAGGAGTGTCATGGGGCACGAGGACGGGCATAACTAAACCTCAGGCTCGTCCCCGCGGGAGGGCTGGTCGCCGCCGCGGCGGCGTCGGTGGCGGCAGGCGCGGCGGCTGCAGAGGCAATGCAGAGGTCGCTCGCGCGCGCCGCAGGGCCAGCCCGCTCGCGACGGCGGAGTGGTGCTTCGCCGCCTCACGGTTGCGCGAGATGCGCGCGGCTCGCCCCCGCCTGGCAAAAGGTGGGGGCGGGAGGGGATTCGCGGCCGTCGAACTCGACCCCCGAGTTGCCCCGTCGCCCGGGGCCGCGGCGATGCCAAACCCCCCCCCCGCCCGAAGGCGGGCCATGCCGGACCAGGAATTTGGCCGCGCGCCGAGGCCGAGGCGGCTCCGTGCCCGCGCGGGAGTCACCATTGGCAGTGGCGGGGCCCGCGCCGGAATGAGGGCGGTCCTCGGCGTCGGCGTCGTCCTCTGGGCCGCCCCCCTTCCATTTTGTCCGCGGACTGGTGCGGGGTGGCCCTCTCCGCGCCAGGCGCGGCCTCGTCCCCTTCGACGGGCGCGGCGCCGCGCGTGGCCGCGAAGCCGTCGCCATGGCCGACGACCCCGCGGGGCGCGGCCAATGCGCGCAACAGCGGGCCGATCCGGACGGGACCAGCCCGTCGGCGTCGCCCTCGCCCAGAGAGGTGAGAGCCTCCAGACCCATCTCGGAAGTCTCCAAATCGACCACCAACACCGGGGCGGTCGTGTGCGCGAAGCCGCGCCAAGCGAGGGCGCGTTGACCACCTGGAAGGGGCCGACTAGCCCTGAGAATCCATCCGCCTTCGCCTAGCTGAGACTGTCGGCGGTACGGAAGGACCCAGGCAACGCCAGCAGCATACCCAACGGCCGAGAGGCCAGAGGGATCGCGGCGTAGCTCTCCTCGCCTCGTCCAACCGCCACCGATCGTAGCGAGCTGGCGACGCGAGCGCTAGCCTCGGGTGGGAGCTGCGGGCGGGCCTTGCGAAAGGGCCCGCGCGCGCTCCTCAGCCCACGCTACTGGGCCGTGAGCAAGGGCGCGCTGCGCACCGCGACCTCGCCCGTCGAGGGCTGGTCCGCGCGCGAGGGAAGTCAGTCAGGCCCCGCCAGCAGGCCGCGAAGGCCCCGATGCAGCGACCCCCGCAGAGGGTGCAAACGGCAGTGAATCCGAGCAGAGCCACGACCGTCGATGGCAGCAAGGGGCCACCCCGCTGCGCAGATCCACCGCCAGCCCGAGGCAGACGGTAGGGCAAGCCGCACCCCGCGAGGCAGGGGGGCAATGCCCCCCGCCGCGCGAGTCGGCGTGAGCGGACCACAGGGTCTCCGCGGAGGGAATACTGAAGTCCGCAAGTTTCGGGGGGGGGCGCCTGCATAAAACGCCCACGCAAAGGTTTGGGCCGAGCAGCTATAGAAGCCCAGACGCGCGCGAGGGGGGAGAACTACAAACCATGTCATCATCATCATAAACACCACCAGCATCATCATCACCATCGTCGTCACCATCATCATCATCCTCATCATCATCATCATCATCATCATCATCATCATCATCATCATCATCATCATCATCATCATCATCATCATCATCATCATCATCATCATACTAGTGCGCGCACGTCTTGCGTCAGCCGATGTTGCTCTCTGCAGCGTGTGTTGCTCAAAGGGGGGGCTCCCTGGAAACACTTGCAGGTAGAGCCTCTGCTGCGTACACACTCACACGAATCTCAGTCGGGATTGTACCATCTCTTTTCGAGACCAGAGGTGGAGGAAGCGTGATCACCTTGTGCTGCCATTGCGTCGTCTCAGGCGGAGCAAGTGGAGAGTGCCCCATCTCGTGCGCGTGGTCTCCCAGCAGCTGGCAGGCCCGACGAGCGGCAGGGCGTGCTACGAGTTCAGCTTCGTGCTGCACGCCGGCTTCGTCGCATCGGCCTTCGTGGTGGGAGCTCACCGTGGTCGTGGCTGCTCGGTCGGAGTTCCAGGCGGGTGGTCATCCAGACCGATGGCGCAGCTAGTGGCAGTAGCCGGGCTGGCAGGAGCGGTGGGGCTGGCGGTGGTGTCATCGTCGTTGGCCCGGGGGCGAGA